AGTTATAGGACAGCCAAGTATAATTCTGAGTGCTTCATTTTGCATTTTTTCCAGTCTATCAATACTTTTGCCATTCTGCAGGACCAAAGCTGGTGCATGATAGTCTATCAGAGACCTTATATACGCTAAATACATCATTCTTGCTATTCTAATATTAACACCATATTTCGGGCTGTACCCCACTACAGTTCTGAGAGCCTTGAGTCTGTCTCTACATTGTTGATGTAACTTATTGACTGCAGTTGAGGTACAAGGGACAGAGACACCAAGGTATTTGAAAGAAGAGACATAGTCTATTGGTATGTTGTCTATCTTAAGTTTTCGTGGTCCACTTTTGCGGTTGCCAATTTGTCTGTTAAATACCTTAGTTTTAGCAGCGTTGATTACAGGACCAAGGCTCTCACAAGCTGTATGTATACAATTTAAGACTGTTTGCATTTCGCGGTGGGTTTTAGTATGCACAAGGATGTCATCTGCATAGCTGATAGTGATGTTTGCCGGACTAGTTGGGATTGATTTTAGTAAAGCATTAATTAGAACATTAAACAAGGTAGGACTAAGTACTCCTCCTTGTGGGGTGCCTAGTTGCATTACTTTAGTTTCACTCTTGTAGCCTTGGAACAGTGCAGAGGACCTCCGGTTGGTAAGATAGCCTTGTATCCATTGTAATAAATGTCCCCCTATATCCATTCTCGCTAATTCATACATAATCACTTCCCTATTAGCAATATCAAAGGCATTTTTTAAATCAAGAAATGTTGTGTACTTGTGCCTTTTATCTCCATGAACAGTAAGAAAGGTTGTGATACAGTTGTGTACACTTTTACCATGTGTGAAACCATTGATGTCAGGTGACATGTGCTCTTTAACTCTATACAATAATCTATTAAGCACCATTCTCTCAAAGGTTTTGCACATGCAACTGGTCAGTGAGATGGGACGGAAAGCATCAGGTTGGCCAGGCTTTGGTACAGGTACCGTAAGACTGGTGGTCCATGATACAGGCAACTGCCCAGTGACATAGCTAGCATTAAACAATTCTAATAATGGGTTACCGGGTACACGATGTAGGAGTCCTAGAATATCATAGGTGATACCGTCCTCACCAGGAGCAGTGCTACTGCCCCTGGAGAGGGCTGCATCCAATTCATAATCTGTATATGGAACATCACATTCATCATGTTGCTTGCTCAACATGAAATTTATGAGAGAATTTCTGTCTGTGGACCTCTCCTGCAATTTCTCCCTAGTGCTAACTGGTAACATTCCAAAGCTGGAAACCTGAGCCCATTTTGCAATTAACTGATTGGCTTTCTGTAGCGGGTTTGGGTGTGAAACTTGTCTACTATTTTTACCAATAATTTTGTTTATGCCTTTCCAGGCTTTGCCCAGGGGAGTATGCAGGTTAAGTCCACTAACAAAACCCTCCCATTCATTTTGTCTCAGTTCAGTCATTCTCTCCCTTGCCGCTGCAAGCGCGGCCTGAAACAGTTTTAACATTTGAGGAGTTCTAAGGCTCTTATATGCTTTACCTGTCTGTCTAGCAATTGATTTATGCTCATTCAGTTTAGCATCATCATAGTATTGGTTGTGTCTGACCTGTTTACCAGTACTTCTTTTTGTTTGGCGTGACTCACTATTTTTGATGGCTTCATAGGTATTATTTATGAGGTCATCATAAAACTGTTGTACATTCTCAGGCTCATAATTGTTATACCAATGTGCTATGCTGTCTATAAAGAATTTTTCTTGCTCTTTCCTTATTGTTAGCCTGCGTCTACTCAGCTTAGTGCCAGGTAGGTCAACATTAGCCACGTGTATGTTAGCTGTTATGGCTAAATGGTCAGACATTAAGTCATCCATAATATCAGTCTCATGAGTTGTGTATGACAGGTTAAAGCCAATGCACCTATCTAGGACTCCTCCATATATTTGCGTTGGTTGATTCTTACTGATAATTTGATCATCATCATATGCATCGAGAAGTGCCCACAATCTTCTCCCGTTGGTGTTTGTGAGTTGATCTCCTAATTGTTTGTGTTTGGCATTTAAATCCCCAATTAATATTGTAGAATCAGTATGTGCAAAACTAGGTAGGTCAGTATACTGGAGGAGGCCAGTAGGTGCATAGGCATTCAAAACATTAAGTGTAGAGTTACCAACGTGTACCCGGTTACCATGATATTCAAACCCCTCTCGTTGTTGGGCGGGAAGTGGCTCATGTGGCAGGGATTTTTTAACATACATAAGACACATATTTTTTGATCTGGGATTATAACACTGATAACTAGGCAAATTCTGCGGGGTTTTACCTGCGGGAGTTAGGGTTTCCTGGTGGCAGACAATATCTATGTCTTCAGTCATAACCTTATGATGGAGGTCTGAATGCCATTTTCTAAGAGAAGCAATATTCCAACTGAGTATCTTGATGACACTGTACTTGTTTTTATGAGATTCAGAGGCCGCCATTGTTCTTTTGTACTTTATCAGTCTGCAGTTTCAGGAAAGCAAGTATGTCTACATACCGGTTGTAGTGCTTTATTACAGCTTCTTTTTCCTCTTCAGTCAGCACATCACCTGTCACCATTTCTTTAAATGTGTCACGGCGGAACCATCTGGGATGTGGCGTGCGCGGCCCGAGGCGGGCATCCACGTCCAGTTGAGCATCGTCATTATCACTACAAGCGACACTGGTTTCACTTTGTTCTTTATCACAATCACTTTCATCATTTCCACTACTATATTCCTTCAAACAGAGTTTATTAGACCCGGTATCAACATCTTGATCGTCATCACCATTAAAGTTCTCACCCTCAGTGTCACTACGTTCATCATCAGGATCAGTTGCGCCATAATACTCATCGACAGCACTATCCGTTTCTACGTGGAATAGTTTACCTCTGTTCATAGTGCACTGTGTTGATGAGGCTGGTGTGTGGGGAGCCGTGGTGGGAGAGCCCAGCTGGTGTGAGGGCTGGGACACCCCTGCTGGGGTCTGCCCCGGGGTGCTGGCCGCATGGGAGCACATGGTGGTACCCCAGGTCGGTGTGGCCTGCACTCAGTTAATACTCTCACAGTTTCCTGAAGAGTGGTTATCATTGTCTTTTGGTGCATGATTTCCTTATTTTGTTCGGTTATCTGCTTGGTCAGGTTTTCCACAATTTTGTTTTGTTTTTCTACTGTATGCATAAGCTCACTAATTTTCTGTGCCTGATCCAGGCCCCCCGACCAACATGAATTGGTAGGGCCTACAACTGTGTCACTCGAGCTACTAGCCGTGGCGTTGGAGTGGTTGGGTAAGGGAAGGGAGTGTGACGGAGTGACCGGTGGGGGCACAGCAGATGAGCCAGGGTGGTTACTGGCACCCCCAGCTGTTGTACCCCTGGCAGCACTCTCGGCGGGAGTGAGGCACAGTCCTCATGCCAGGCGGGAACTCCCTCCATGTGAAAGTTTGCACACCTCAGTTTTAGTGCACCACCCTTTTTAGCATCACACACAGACGTTGCATGCTTTCCGGCACAGTGGCCACACCGCTCATCATTCCAACAGTTCCTTGCAACATGATTCCACCGTTGGCACTTGTAACACCTGCGCCTGGGAGGGTTGTAAATCTTCATTGTTAGTTGCCAATAAGCACTTGGAACAGTAAATCTTTCCGGCGGAGTCTCTTTGCTGGTCCAGTTGGCGAGAATAGTCTCTCTGCCCTTTGTTCTTTTCGCATTGAAAATATATTCATGCTGCTCTACCAGTGTGTGATCCTGGTAGAGGTCCAGACCAAAAATGATGACGGGTGTCCTGTGGGTATGAGCAGGCGGTGGTGGTTTCCTCATTGTTATACCAGCAAGCTCTTGAGTACAGAAATATTGTACCCTCTCATCAGTAATGTTCATACGAACATGGCTTGCATGTCTATTCGCCAACCAATACCCACCACCAGGGTGTTTTTTGGCTGCCTCAGCCAACCATGCATATTTTGTTGCAGTTTCCGTGCCCGGGGGAAACTGCAGGTTGGTTCTTTTCTTCTCATGGTTACGATTTATGATATTTTTGACTCCATGTGTCTTCCTCCGGGACGATACAGTTGTCCAAGGAGTTTCGTCACTATCAGGCTCCTCCTGTCCAGCATTTGAGTCCACTGTGAAAGATACCATGCTCGTATCTTCCTCGTGTAGACCACTTGATGTACTAGCACTCTGGTGTGAGGCCACTGAGGCAGCACCTGCCTTAGAGGCAGCAGTCGCCATGCCTCGAGTGTCGCCTGGGTAGGTTCACAGCTGCACACAGCACGAATCACAGAGTTACACATCAACCACACAGCAAAGGGACTCCAATCATATCGCAGGATCAGTAGGAAAGATTCACACACTTTTTATGCATGCAGAAGCACTGCTAAGAGGCGGGGCACGAGGAGTTAGGCCTCTCTGCTCCACATAAGCGCGCTTGTTTTCAAGGTCACTCAGTCCGAGCTAAGATTCTTGCCAAATGTATCATTTTGTCACATGTGTGGCTTCTTTGTGTGCACAAACACCTTCTCCATACAGTGTAATAAAACTAACCACTGAAAAATTATATATAACACTAACCGTACCGTAGTATTAATATCAGGTAGAGAGGTGTGAATAAGCTGCAGATACACTTGGCAACACTGTGGTGTGTACCTGGCAGCAAGCGTGCCACCTATGGTACCTGCCCGGTGATTTCCAAAGTCACCAGTGCCAGGCTATATAAACATATTCATCAGAGACTGATAAGTGTGTAAGAGTGGGGTTAGAGGAGAGAGCATTGCTCCTGCCTGCTGCTGGGGTGGGGGTGGGAAGAGCGTTGCCCCTGCCTGTTGCTTGAGGGTGAAGAGCGTTGCCTCTGCCTGCTGCTGGAGGGGGCAGATTTGGTAATGTTAAAAAGTAAGCCATAAATATTTGAACATTCAATTAGTGGTGTAAATAGAGTAAGAGCTAGATTGATTTATCATTGATCTCGTATCCTCTCTCATTAATTCACAGATCACAGAATACGAGAAGACGCTCTCGACTCTTCAGGATGAAGCAAGTCAACATCGTAATAAGATCTCCCTTCTCGAGTCGACTGTGTGTGATTTCAATACAAGTGCCAAAGAGAAGGAAGTTATGGAGTCAATGTTGGAGGAAGAACTGAATCGTCGAACTGAAGAGGTAAGGTTTAAGGGTTTGTAGTGTCGTTAAATTAATTTGCCTTCAAATTTGAGGTAAAATTATTCTTGCTTGTAGGGATTTAAGGATTTTACCATGTATATTTTGGTGAAAATTTGTAATGGCTAAATTTTTAAAATGTTTTTCTTTAGATTAGTTAAAATTCATACTATTGAATATTGGCAGGTGTGTTTCTCCTTCGAAACTACAAAAATGCTAAGTAAAAAATATTTACTACTAAATGTTAGGACAGTACAGTACTTTATTTAAAAAATAAAATTAACTTCAATTATGTATTTCCTTTCATTTTTTAATATTAAGGTGATTTTTGTTTTTTTGTAATTAGTATTTCATATTACTGTACTTAGATAATTACTGTTTTAAATCAATAGAATATAAATATGCTTAGTTTTTCTGGGGGGAGCCCCTTCGGCTCCACGGAGCTATCCAGGCTGATAGGGATGTATTAGACTTTGGCATCAGTCAATGTGAATGGAGTTTTCGGTCTACAGGGGACCACAAGCCAGAACCTGGCCTGTAGAAACCCGTGTGTGGTTGGAAGCATTCTATGTCTGCCATCGACCAGGTCAGGCACCCAGAAAGGTAAGCGCCCCAAAACAAACCCCTATTCTGTTTAAGAAATTGCTGCTGTAAGCCGAACTAGTGGACAGAACTCCTCAAATGAAAACGAGCAAATGAGCCTAATGTCTCCGCGCCGCTGTGTGCGCAGCTTTCTTTCCCCGGGAGAGGGAAGAGGAAGCCCCAGACCCTTCACGCTGGCTACCTTGTGTTCTTTGGCCGATGTGATTGGCAATGGTCATGTGATTTTGGCTTCTGTCTTCTTGTCCTCCAGCTTTGTGCCTTGTGGTGTGGTGCTGTTTCTGTGGTGGCGAACGAGCCAGGAGTATTTTCACTAATGCCCGGGCTGGATGCGCCTAGGGTCACCTTCCCTAGGGGCCCTGTAAGTACTACCCTTGGGGTTTGGGGCTGCCTTCCACAAGTCACCTTGGGATATACCTCTGCTTGGTCTTTTGCTGCTCAGTGATTGACCGCCCTTTGTGTGCTGGGGTGTTTCTTGCAGTCTTGATTGCTTTTGGGTAGGGGTAGTTTGCACTGGTTGGGGCACGGGGTACTGCACAGCTAATTTTTACCTCTCATAGTGGCTGGCTCTGTTCTGCCTGGGTATGTTGTCCTCTTGCGGGGTTTTTCTGTTTTTGTTTCCTGCCTGGTGGAGGGGGGTTCTGTCCTTGGTTTTGGTTCCCCTCCTTATTTTTCTTGGTGGTCCCCTGCTAGGCCACCCCCATGAATGGACACGTCTTGTGGTTCAGCTTTTAGCAGTTTTTTTTTGGTAGACTTGGGTGCCGGTTCACAGTACCCTGTCTGTGCTTCCTTAGCATGTTTCCCCATCTTTCCGTCTGGGAAACCTTGCAGAGTCACTTTGGTCCAATGGATGCAACCTGTGTGTCCCCTCTCATCTTCTGCGAGTTTGTAGGTTTCTTTGTCCCCTTGTCTTAGGGTGACATTCACCGGTTCTGCCTCCATCACGCTGCCTGCTGGTCGGTGAAACTTTTGACCTGGAGTCCTGCGGGTTTTGTTGCTTGTTTGCGACTCGGTACACCCAATCTATTTATGACTCTTTGGGTGCAGGCAGCTCAGGCGTTGCATGCTCGGTTTAGGTTGCTGCAACGTGCTAGGTTGGTTGCTGACCCGGAAGCCCCATGGCTGCCCCGTTTTGGTTATACGAACCTGGATTTAGGGGTGTTGGTCGTTTCGACCTTGGATCAGTTTATGCCTCTTTGTTCTGGTCCTCATCCCCACCCTCCCCTACTTCCAGTTCTGAACCGTCTGTGGGTTTCGGAGTCAGGGCGGGGTTTAGTTAGGTTCGAGACTTCTGTAGTCTCGGGGGATGCCGCTTCTGGGGTGGCGACGGAGGCGTTCGGGCCGGTTCCTCCTGCCGAAGCTTCTGGGTCTGACAGGTGTGCCCTATTCCTTCCTGCATTTACAGCTGCTCCGCCCTTTTCATGTGAGGCCGGGATTTTGAAGGACGACTCGCCCTGGGACCTGGGGTGGGGGACTGGCTGCCTTGGGGGTTTTGGGCCCCGTTAGACCCCAATTGGGTTTTTGTGCCCTCGAAGCTGGCTTTACTGTTACAAGATGTGGGGTTTTCATCTCCCCCCTCACTGCATTCGAGTTGGTTTGGTGTCGGTCCCTCCCCAGGTTTGGTTCAGTGTCTTTTTAGGTCCATCGGTCCCATCCTTCCGGAGGTTATCGACTAATGCTTCCCTCACTCATGCAGTGCGGGAAGCCTTTGCGGCTTACCTCCTGCCCAACCTGGTTTATGCCTCCATTATGGATCCTTCTTCGTTTCCTCACTGGGTTCATTATGAAGTTTTGGGGTCCTACTGGCTTACAAACTGCCCTGTTTTCTCATGGGATGTGCTTTGGTCTCGGCAGCGAGTGCGTCATCTGCCCTGTTGGAGCTGTTCGCGCCATTTTCGAGGGATGTGGTGTTTTTATGCTTCTTGTCTTGCGTGTCGTCAGGTGGTGCTCGCTACCTCCGTAGAATCTGCCTGGGCCCTGGCTCTTTGGTTTTTGTCACCTTTTTGTCCCTCACTGTTTGCGGAGTCTGCGATAGGAGGTACTCCGGTGGAGGATATTTCAGCAAATTCAACTTCAATAGTAAACAGATAAAGTGGGAGCAAACCAAGACTTCACAGAAAATAAGCTGGGAAGAACAGCTAGAAAAAGCAAACCTGAACCAGAGCCTGGAAAAAATAAGCTCAGTAGCACTAGAAATAAGCTCAAACTGCATAGCCCTAAGAAAGAGGAAGAGATGCAGATTGGAACTGGAACGTCGTTCCCTCTATAATCGAAGAAAACAAATCGCGGAACAACTTAAGTCGCAGCCCTATCTCAAGAACAGCAAAGAAGGTTAGGTAGAGAAATATAAACGATTGAACTAAAGCTACAAGAATCATACAAAACCCAGGAAAGGCAGAGAGAGCAAAGGGCCATCAGTGAAAAAGTGAGAAATCCAAAATATTTTTTCTCCTATGCAATATAAAGATAAAAAAAAAATCATCTAGTATCGGGCCTCTGCGAATGGAAGATGGAACTTTCATAGATGACAACAAAGAAATGAGCGAAATACTGAGGAATCTGTACGACTGTTTTCAGCGAGTCACTAAAGATTGATAACTTAAATGAATTTTTCATGGATATGATCTTCTTGAGATAACAACAACATCCAATCATATATTAGATGTCACACTATCCTCACCGGATTTTGAAGCCATAGACAGTATGCATAGGCACCAGGCCCTGATTCTTGGAACTATATTTATCAAGAATTGTAAAAAAAAAAGCACTATCGAAGGCCCTTCATATTTTTTGGAGACGAAGCCTAGATACTGGTGTTATCCCTGACATACCCCTGGATAGCGCGCAGGACTCGTAATTCTGTGGCGCAGATTCGATACCCGCACCAGGCAGAAACAAATGAGCAAAGTTCCTTTCACCTTGAATGCCCCTATTACCTAGCAGTAAATATGTACCTGGGAGTCAGCTGTCACGGGCTGCTTCCTGGGGTGGGTGGGTGTGTGTGTGGTGTGGATTAAAATAGTAAACAGTTGATTGACAGTTGAGAGGCGGGCCGAAAGAGCAAAGTTCAACCCTCGCATGATACAACTAGGTGAATATAACTAAAAACAGCAGAGATAGCACCACTCCATAAAGGAGGAAATAAGGCAGAGGCAAAAAATTACAGACCGACAGCACTAACACCACACATCATAAAAATCTTTGAGAGTGCTAAGAAGTAAGATCACAAAATACATGGAATCACAGCATCTCCATAACCCCGGACAACAGAGGGTGCTCTTGCCTATCACAGTTGCTGGACCACTATGACATGGCACTAGATGCCATGGAAGACAAACAAAATGCTGATGTTATTTACAGATTTCACAAAAGCCTTTGAAAAAATGTGACCATGGTGTCATGGTCACATGACACCATGGTCACATAAAATGCGTTCCAAAGGAATTGCCGGAAAAATAGGCAGATGGATCTACAATTTCCTGACTAATAGAACCTAATGTGTAATAGTCGACAAAATGAAATCCGGCCCATTGACCGTGAAGAGCTCGGTCCCCCAGGGTACTGTGCTTGCTCCAGTACTTTTTCTCATCCTCATGTTGGACATAGACAAGGACACAACCTATAGTAATGTATTGTCCTTTGTAGATGACACTAGGATTTTTGAGAGTAGACAACATAGAGGACATGACAAACCTCCAGACATAAATCGGGTCTTTCTATGGGCTACAGAAAATAATATGGTGTTTAACGAAGATAAGTTCCAGCTCATGCGCTATAGAAGAAATTAAAATATAAAAACGGAAACCACGTACTAAACGCAGTCAAATCATAACATAGAACAAAAAGGCAATGTAAAGGATTTGGGTGTACTCGTGTCAGAAGACCTTACATTTAACGAACACAATAAAGTAGCCGTCACAACTGCAAGAAAAATGACAGGTTGGATAACGAGAACCTTTCACACTAGAGATGCTATACCGATGATGACACTTTTCAAGATGCTAGTGCTTTCCAGAGTTGAATACTGCTACAAAATGACAGCCCCTTTCAAAGCTGAAGAATCTCTCTCTCTGTTTTATTTTTTTTTCTTCCTTCCTTCGCTTGTTCTGGGGGTCACCCATCGGATGCTCAAGGTGTGTGTGTGTGTGCAGGAACCCCAACTTTGCTGTCCTGGTCTACCCGTTGGGTGTAGTTTCATCAGCTGTTGTCGTTCCTTCCCCCTCTCTCGTGATCACTGGGTTCGGCCTTCAAACCCCGCGATGGCACCAACAAACCCGACATCGGATGACAATTAGCATAATCGGCCTTGGCATCGGCTGCTGCGTCCCCGGCTTCCTCTTCAGGTTTTTCGTGATTCAGTGTCTTGGCGCTTACCCAAGCCCTCGTTCAATGTGTTCACGGAC